AAAGGATTAATTCATTCTACCAAAAACATAAAATTTACAAAATTCCATCTTTCAGAAAAATTTCAAATATTGAACCAAATTGACAATAACATTAACTTACCATATCCAAGAACTACAACAAAATTATTGACTTCCACCTTCTTCCTCCTCCAATTTCTTTACATAAGCCTTAAGCACCATAACCAAATTCCTTGCTGGAGCTTGAATAGTCCCAACAACAGCTGAAGCCGGTCCTTTCAAAGACCCAAGAAGCTGTGAATAAATCTCAGCTCTTGTAGGCAAATTCTCAAGCACCTTAAACTCATCAGGTCCATAAAATTTCCCTTCAAAAACCCCACCAGTAAAATCATTCTCTTCCAATTTCTTCTCCCTTAGAAAAGTCCTATAAGGTTTCAAAGCAGCTGGGATTTCTTCACTATGAACAAATAACCAAGCATTCATTCCTTTCATACATGGTTTCAATGCTTCCCATTTTGTCCCTTCAATTGCTTTAAGTACCAATGTGTTCTTAGCAACAAGAAGCTTTGTTGTTTCTGGGAGTTGAGCCCTTAGATCTTGAAATTGCTTAACTGTTAACCCCTTGTAACTGATTCCAGCTAAGAGATAACAATCTTCAAGCTGCTGCTTCACTGTTTCGACTGTTTCTTCTTTCTTGGTTCTGCTAATGGCTGAACGGATAGTTAGAGTTCTGGATTTGGGTTTGAGGTGAGAATTGGATTGGGGGATTATGAAGGGATTGTTGAAGTGGGATTTCACGGAAAATGGGTAAGAGTGAGAGGAAGAGGAAGGTAAGCTGAAGAGAGCAGCCTCCATTGATGATAGCTTGAGAATTGGATTGCCTTATCTTTTGTGCTAAGATAGAATTTTGGGGTATTTCATGAACTTTATGTTTTTGAAAATATTTATGTCATACCAAACAAACCATTAAAGAACCTAAGGCAAGGTAGGTGTAATATTTGCGTATATTTTACCGTTTTTAAATTAGAAGTGGTTTGATACGAGGGATAAAAGATAATAATTTGATAAAATTCAAAACCCTTTAATCTTATGTTTAACTAGGTAATTTGCTCGCGCTTCGCGCGGTCATAAATAATTGCATTGATTATTGAACTTGCAAAATAGTTCTTTACTAATATCCATACATTAAAAATAATAGTAAGTTCTTAAAAAACTATTAGCAATATTTCAACATGAATCTGATTATTGTCATTATCACATAACTCAAGAACCTCTAATGAATGAATTATTCACGAAATAATAAATCATTGAATCTTTAATCAACATTAAAATGAAAATAAAGAAGACAATAAGAATATATAAAAAGGCATTTCATAAGAAAAAAAATACATTTAAGTTGCATAGATTATACAATCGGGATATTTGTCTCAGGAAAAAATTAAAAAAATTGTTAACAGATTCAAAAACAAAATTATGCTTGAACATGAAAGCAATTTTAATTTTTGAACTTGCATTATGAATTTCTTCAATTGATAAGTGAGAAACTTCATAGTAAAAATAGATAATATATAAGCTTATATATAGTACTTTTATGTTATAGAAGTTTATATAGAATATCAAAATATGAATTCTTGGAACTGAGTACCATAATTATTTTCTGCGCAATGAATATACCTACTATATGTGTATATGTTCAATATAATCGGAGACAATAACTTTGCAGAAACATAAACAACAGAGTTTAAAACATGTACTCAAAAACAACATAAGCATAAATTAATGACTATAGAAAAAACATACCAGAATATATAACAATACAATGAAATGAAATAGAAGGAAAAAATCGAGTTCACTGAATGCACAGTGTCTCCTTAAGAAAATCATTCCTCTCTAATACCCAAGGTTTAAAGAAATAGATTCTTTCAGGATGGAACGATTTTATTCACCAGTGTATTGATACAAAAACAATGGTGTCAGTGAGTCATTCAACATGAGCAAAGTACACGAATATTTAACTGTGCAGAAGAAGAAAAAGTAGTTTAGAAGTTTCGTTGTTTTAAAATGAGAGGAAATCCCTCTATTTATAAACAACAAAGGATAGTGTGAACAAATGCTTATTGTGCCTTATCGAAAAGGTCACAACTTTTTGGAAAAGTCACAACCCTTCGGAAAGGTCATAACCTTTCATAAAAGTCGCAACTCTTCATAAAAGTCACAACTTTTTATGAAAAGGAAAAGCTAGTTTTGAAAATTAATAAATTAAAAGAAAATCATGGCTTGTGGTAGTGCCACATAGGCGGGCTTAGGGTTCTCTTATTATATTTAGAGGTATTAATGATATGTTTTGATCAGTTATTGTAACATATAATACCATATAAATTTTATGATTATTCCAAGGTGCATAGTTAAACTTTTAAAAAAAAATTATAATAAGCATATTGATTTTTCTTTAATATCATATGTTTCAATAATTTTGCTTGAATTCAATAGTAGAGTCACATTATGCATAATTAATGTAAACATTATATACTTTATTTGATATTAAGGTATGTATATAACTTAATATATGGAAATATCAAATATGTGATATTAGTAATACAAAGATTATTAATTCACGCTTAGCATAATTAAAGATACTGTTGCTCTACAAAACTCTTTTTACATCATTTACTATATTTATTGAAGATACTTCTATAAACAAATAATTATTATTATTTTTGAAATTATGTATACATGTTATTTTTAATACATCAAATCAAATATAAAACAAAAAAATATTATCAAATATAATTAATCATATATATATATATATATATATATAAAAAAAAGAGAACCTTATGTCCGCCTATGTGGCGCCACCAGAAATCAGAATTCTCTTTTAATTTATTTATTTCCAAAACTAGTCTTCCCCTTTCATGAAAAGTTATGACTTTTATTGAAAAATGCAACTTTAATGAAAAATTGCGACTTTTATGAAAAGTTGTGACTTTTATGAAAGGTTGTGCCCTTTCCGAAGGGTTTCAACTTTTCCAAATAGTTGTAATCTTTCTGATAAGGTACAATAAACATTTGTTCACACTACCCTTTGTTGTCTATAAATAGAAGGATTTCCACTCATTTTAAAACAACGAAAATTTTGAACCTCTTCTTTTTCTTCACAATTAAATATTTGTGTACTTTGCTCCTGTTGAGTGGCTCACTGATACCATTGCTTATGTTACAGATCCTGATATGTATTTTTACAATCATTAATTTATGTTTATGTTATTAAAGATAAATGATAAGATGTAATAATTTTCATTTCCTTTAACATTATTAATGTTTGTTACTACGTAATCTTATATATAAGATAATATAATGTTTTAGTTTTAATGCTTGATATGTTTTAAGTATTATTTTATGAATTTTGTAATATTAAATTTCCGCACAAAACGCGAATAATTTTACTAGTACAAATATAAGTAATACTTATATTACTAAAATTTACTATGTTCAATATTATTTTTTTATACACTCGATAAACCATCCTTAAGTAGTGACTAGTGTATATTATGTATACTTCAATCATATTAATAAATTAGTTTACTTAGTACATATATGTATACATAGATCTATAACTTTATCAATTAAAAATGTTCACTTGAATAAATTAGTTTACTTAGTTAGTACATACATGTATAGATAGATCTATAACTTTATCAATTAAAAATGTTCACTTAAAAATAAATTTCAAGAGTCAAAACTATTCAAAAATTATTTTTGAATGTAACGAAAATCATAAGTGGCATTTTTATCATTTTCTCTACTCAAATCCTAATCTTTGTTTGAATCGTCGTTATGTCTCATATCATAATATATCATATTATATTATATTATTTTAATAAATATAATATTTGAATAGATTATATCATTTTCCGTATTGCATAATATCACACCTTTATAATTTGAATAATAAACCTATAAGAAATTGTAGGATACTGAGTAGAACTTAGGGGTGTGCACTATTTGGATTAAACCGAAAAACCAAACCAAATCAAACCGAATTGTAATTTGAATTGATTTTTTGGATTTTTGGATTGATTTTGGATTTATAAGTTACTTTGTTTGGTTTTTTAGTTTGGTTTCAGATTTAGAAAAATGAAAATAAAAAAACCAAAAAAAACCGAATTATATATATATATATAGGCCGTAGGGTACTAGTAATTCAGTATTACCGTAATATTTAGGCCCATATCAAATTATTGTCATCCTATTTCACTAAATTTAAGGCATTAGGTTTTACATTATAACTATAAATATCACATATTACTTGCACTTTCACGAAAAAAAATTAGCAGAACTAGAATTAGCGGCGCTAGTCAACTTTTTTATTTTTGCAGTTTGCTCTTTTTTCTTGCTTTATTTTATTTATGTGCTATTTGCTTTTGAAATTTTTATCTATTTCTTTCTAAAAAGTTTTTTCATCATATTTCAGGTTTAAGAGATCTTAATTGAAGACATGAGTTAAATTGCTGGTTCAACCTCGATGCGATTTGTGGTGATAGTACTTTAGAGTTTAGAGTTAGTTTCATTGAAATTATTGATAGTATTGTGTTTTTAATGTTTTACTCGTGTTACTTTTCCCTATATGCAATTTTTATTTTTTAAGCATGCAAATATAACTTTGATTATGTTATTAATTAGTTATGAAATAAGTTATAACCGAATAGCCAAATCGGAAAAAACCAAACCGAAAAGAGAAAAATCGAACAAAACCAAATTTTTTTTAGTTCGAATTGGGTTATACTTTTTCAAAACTGAAAATCGAAAAACTCAAATCGAATAACAAAAAACCGAATGCACACCCCTAGTAGAACTACTACAAAAAAGATAGAATAAATACTAAAATAAAATTATAACCAAATCAAAACAAACATTGTATTTATACTACCGTTACAATACAATACAATACAATGTCATCATGTAACAACCATCCAAACGAAGTGTAAGAGGGAAAAGAGCAAAAAAGAAGAAGAAAACACAGTTCCGCCAGAGACGAGTGGGAAGATAAGGAGTACTACGCATTAACGAACCAAATTACCAAAACCTAAAGGAGAAAATGGCAGCTTCGAGCATTGGGTATCAAATTCATATTAATGTCAATTCTCCAATTCTTCTTCCTTTGAGAACCAATTTCAGTTCACTCTCTTTCACTTTCTCTAATGCTAAATACCCATTAAAATGGAATCACATTGGCTGCCCCAAAATGTGTGCTCTACCAGCTGTTTCAATAATGGCTTCTGGGTACTCTCTTTCTCTATTTATTTTTTAGCTATTTTTTCTGGAATTCTCGTATTCTTCTAGTTTTAGGGTGTGTTTGGTTGGTAAGAAGCAAAATGTTATTCACGTAAAATATTTATCTGGAAAATATGTTGTTTTCTTACTTATTTTTGACATAACCGTCGAAAACACACTTGAATTATCAGTTTTACTTAATTTCCTATGTGAAATATAACCATCTATATATTAAAAAACACTTCAAACAATAAGTTGTTTACTTTTATCATCTATCAGGTAGAAAAATGAAACAATTAATAGTTGAGATGTGAAACTTGCGAAAAAATTACGTTGAGTTAATTTTTTTTTAAAACCATTGACTCCTTATCTTTTTGATGGTTGGTAAGTGAACTAGAAAATATTGTTTCAAATGTAATCTAAGAAAATATTTGTTGTTTCCTTTACTTTGGGTTATCATATTATTTGTCGTTTGCTTATGTTATCTTCTCTATTATTTATTTGTTAGTATGACTTTTACATTACTATATTTACTTTACATAATTGATTTCTCATATGCGTTACTTGAGTTGAGGGTCTATAAAAAAAAACATTGTCTAGCTTCACAAGGTAAGGAGTAAGGTTGCGTACACACCATGCTCTCGAGTCCCCACTTGCAGGATTACACTTAGTATGTTGTTGTTAAGCAAATACAGCAGGAGGCCAGAGCTAGGATTTTCAATTTATGGTTCTAGATTCTAAAAAGATGTCTCAATAAGTTCTGAATAAATTATACATATTAAGTGAATATTTAGCATAAATTCATGGTCTGCATCAAAGCTCATAAGCAGAATGCTAGCACCGCCTCTAGGGTGGGGGTGGCGTGGATGTAGTAATCAGAGTTGGGGGCTAGGAGCGTTGAGGGCGGAGAGGAACTTGTTTTTCCTATTCCTATCAGTAAAGTCATTTTCTGATTTTTAAGCAACTTATTTTCTCAAAGATGATATTTTAAAAACATAGTGACCGAACAAATATAAAAAGTTCACACCTGTAATTTCTTCTACTTTGCTTACTCACTTGTCTTCAAACATTGATATTTAGTTCTTGATTTGAAGGAGTTGATTTCTCGAATGGTCACTCAACTAATAGTTATTATTTCAGAAAATTACCTTCTAAGTTGAAGGAAAATTGAAATCAAGAATAAAAGTGACCGTTTGGGATAATATTTATTAGTTGAGTGATCATCTGTGAAATCACTCCATTCTAAAAGCCGCGCCTTCTATTGGGTTCAACGGTTTTTGTTAGTTCTAACAATTCCTTGTTTAATCAGAAGTTCCAGAGAGATGCTTCCTCCTGCCCTTGATTCCTCTTCAGAGCCACCATCAATCTTTGATGGAACTCCAAAGTTAGTTGCTTTTTTACTTTATTGCTCCTTTTTTTGTTTGTCTCAAATGTGATTGTTGCATTTCTATTCTTCTTCTTTGTATGATATGATATGGTTAAATTATATACAATAACGGTTAAGTCACTTAATTATTCTTTTGTCATGTTAAAAGTAACTAACACCTATAATAATGAAGTCACTAAACTTTATCCTCTATAAAGTACTAAAATTTATCCATTGAAGTGACTTTTACTGATATAGTGCATAAAAATCTATGACTTTACTGTTATAATGGATAAAATTCTTTGTCGGATATTATATGGTTAGTCCAAATATGGTTACTGACCTTTATACACTATAACAATAATGTCTACTTTTTTGTCGCATTAAACTAGCTAATAACTGAACCTTACCCGCTATAACATTAAAGTTGCTAAACTTTATCCACTATGAAGTAAAACCTACCCATCAAGGAGACTTTTTGTTATAGCGGATACAATTTTGTGATGGTATTCTTGTAGTAGGTAAAGCTGTGACAAAAACAGTTTTGTAACTTTACTGTTATAGTTGGTAAAATTCAGTGACCATATGTGAAATCAGCCCGATATATTAGTTTATCTCCCTTGTGATAGTCAATTTATTCATTTTCTTGGTTGAAGGCTTTATATCTCTTACTCATGCCCATATGCCCAACGTACGTGGATTGCTAGAAATTGTAAGGTTTGTATGGAGCAACTATTGATCTAAAATTTGGTTAAATTTAGTGTGTATTCGAATTTCTTCCAGTACCTATAAAGTTAGTTGATTTATATTCTTGTATGTAAATCAGGGGCTGCAGGAAGAGATTAAGTTGGTTCCTATTGATCTAAAGAACAGGCCAGATTGGTATAAGGAGAAGGTTTATCCAGCTAATAAGGTGAAAGTGACATTATTGTTATAAATAAATGGCGACAGTTATTCAAAGGCGTGATACATAAACAAACTGTCAAACTTGGCCTCAACTGGCAAGTAAATGCTCCAATTTTGATTATGCACATCTAGGCACCTCAACTCGTCTCCATTGTGTCAGTTGAACACTCCAACTTACAAAATGATCATCTAGACACCTCCAAAATTAATGTGCCACGACAGCATTGGGTGTCCACAACACAGTGGGGACGAGTTGGAGTGTATAGTTGCCAGTTGAGACCAAGCTGAGGTGTCTAGATGTGGTCTCTCAAAGTTGAAGTGCTTACTTGTCAGCTAAGGCCAAGTTTGAGTATATGTTTCATGTATTATTCCGTTATTCAAATGGTTTATAGTCTCTGCTTTCTTTGAAGTTCTGCAGTCCAGGCCAGAAGGTTTATCCATAGTAGAGTTAAGCTGTTCTGCTTGTTGTTTTAGTACAGTAAATCTACAAACCTGCTTTATCAATTCCTAAATGATAAGTTGAAACCAATGATGTCTCTGTGCGTCTCTTGTGTGTGTATTTGAGGTTCCCTTCTAATATATATTTATCTGTGATCTAAGGGTTTGTCAATCATTTTGCTTACATATCGTGAACTTTGAAATTCGCAGCAGCATAGGAACCACGGGACCCCCTACTAGTAAAAATGTCCCTTCTGTCCATATCTCTACTGATTCAGATGGCAAGGACCCATTGTGGCTTTAGCCCGCTTCTTGTTACTAAAAAGATTGTGTATTTATGTATGTTTAGACTCTTGAGTTTAATTAATTTCAAGTTAGTTAAATTGAAAGGCCCCAGAAAGAAAGTTTAGCTCATCTCTGAATGATTTGATTGATCAAAGGTAAATGAGTCGATTTAGGTCTGCTAATTGACAGGTTTAGGTGGCAAAATTTACATACTAGTTCATTGAATTACACTATGCTGTCACTTTGTTGTGCTACTCCGAGAACTTAATACTTTTCTTTCACAGGTACCATCACTGGAACACAACAATGAAGTTAAGGGAGAGAGTATGGATCTCATTAGATATATTGACAGTAACTTTGAAGGACCTTCACTTTTCCCTGATGTAAGTTCTTGATAGGATTTCCTTTGAGATTTTCCTACTTTTCTCGTCTCTCAACTTGTGTGCTCGCTAATGTAGGATCCTTCCAAGAGAGAATTCGCAGAAGAATTGTTCTCCTACTTTGACTCCTTTTACAAAGCTGTAATTTCGTCTTTGAAGGAAGACAAAATAAATGATGCCAGTAAGTTTTAACTCCTATATAATTTACATATTTGCTTTGCGGTAGAATCTTTATGTTTTAGATGAGTTGGTGTAGTTGCAGCATTTGATTCCATTGAGACTGCTCTTTCCAAGTTTGTTGATGGATCTTTCTTCCTTGGTTCATTAAGTCTGGTGAGTATCCATAGCTTATTTTTCGTCATTCAATCTACGCTCATAAAAGACCTATCTATAGATGCATTAGTCTTGCGCGGACTCTTCACTTTCGATGTCGTACCCGTCTCGGATTCTTCAAAGTTGCACTACTTTTGGAGAGTCCGATATACACCCGTTGACATTTTTGAAGAGTCCGAGCAACATAGGCATTAGTAAGTGAAAAGGTGAAATCCGCTGTTAATGTTTACCATAAGAATTATTTTCTGGGAATGAAGCAAATTTATCCATGTATTCCATTATTCACTACCTTGTATATGTGATGGACAGGTGGATATAGCTTACGCGCCATTCATTGAAAGATTCCAGCCCTTCTTGCTCGAGGTAAAAAACTATGACATTACAACAGGCAGGACAAAACTTGCAGCATGGATCAAGGTATTGCACGGATTACCTTTTCTTTGATACTCTTTCCAATGGAATGCTTTGACCACCAGAAGTAAATTTTAACTATAGTTGTATACCAAAATATTTTCACTTGAATACTAGAACATTATGTTCCTCGAAGCTATTATTGGAATTTGCTACTGTCAAGTTTATAATGATCGTCTGCTTGAGTTCTATAGTGCCCATCCTCGTGCTTTGCATACAATAGGTGGATCTACCGCCAAACCCATAATTTTAGGCATAAGACATAAACAGACCCTCAAAATTGGTCTCAATTGGCAACTAAATGCTCCAACTCATCTCACTGTCTCGTGGACATCCAACGCTGGCATGACACATAAATTTGGAGGTGTCTAGATCATTCTGTATGTTAGGAGTGTTTCAACTGACATAGTGGAAACGAGTTGAGGTGTCTAGATGTGCACGCTCAAAGTTGGAGTGCTTACTTGCCAACTGAAGCCAAGTTTGAGTTAATGCTTATGTATTATACCAATTTAGAACCCAACTATTTGCACTAGATGAAGTCATCATTTTAAAATTCAGGATCCATAAAGTTGAAATCCTAGCTCCGCCTCCGATCACATGTTCGGAATCAACATTATAGCCCTTGGGGTACTGCCCTTCCCCTGACCTTACGTGAAGACTGTATGCTTCGTGCATCCGGTTGCCCTTTCTCCATTGTTTGTAGATAACTACTATTACCATCCTAATATCTTAAGTTTTCTGTGTGTGTATAAGCACTAGTCTTTTAAACATTGTGACTTTTGCAGAACATTAGTTGATGTAGTATGATGTATTTACTGCAGGAGATGAACCAAATTGAAGGTTATACAGTAACTAAACGTGACCCAAAGGAGCACCTGGAGAACTATAAAAGACGTTTCTTGGTATATTGCTTGTCTACTGTTTTTATTTGAGTTGATTTCTCAGATGATCACTCAACGAATAGTTATTATCTCAAAAAATCACTCTTTATTATAAAAAATAGAATCAAGATAAAGGATGACTTTTTTAGATAAGAACTATTAATTGAGTAACCATACAAAAATCTAACCAATTTTTATTTCGGAAGTTGTTTTATAACCATACTCACCGCCATTTCTTTCTCTTTATATTTTTGCAGTCTCAGCTCTAATGAGCTCAGTCATTACACAGCATCCGCAATTACGCAAAGATTACTGCTGAGTGTGAAAGGGGCTGTCTTGTTCATTGTATTAGAATATGATTAATCTCAGCATGAAATTCCACATATGGTATAACTAGTGTACGGTTTGTTGCCGCATAAATATATAGTTGCACAATGAAGTTGTCTCTGTATGATCTATAGGTTGCAAATTTGAGCCGTATTAGTAACCACTAATGCTTGCATTAGAGTAGAGTGTCTACATCACAAATCTTCAGGTGTGGCCCTTTTCCCAGACCCTACAATGGGGATGCTTTGTGCACCGTGGTGCCATTTATAAATATACAGCTGCACGGTGACTGTTTCTAATCATATTAACACCAAGAATATTTCTGTAAACTTCCAAAAGCAATGTCTTAAAAGCAACTTCATACAAAAAGTTAAGGTCACTCACCCATAGAACCTAGCAAGTTTTGCAGAAAAAGAAGATTGCTCTCAGTTTACAACAATAAAAGCCAAATTACATGTTACATGTACAGAGCATCAAAGTACTGGAAGAGAAATTCAGAAAATAAAGTGTTTTGTTGTATGGCTAAATTCAAGATTTGCAGCATACTTTCGGTTCCTAGAGCTTTCAAACATATATTATCAGCAACCATTGAATGGCTTAGTACATAGATCAACATGAACGGAAGGCAGAAGATACTCGCATCAGCACCGTTGTAATTCTGCAAATCGACCAAAAATAATCAGCACTTTAATTCAACTATCAAGACAGCAACAGAGAAGCAAGAGTATCAAAGTTATGTTCCGCACAACAGAATCTTCTTCATTCATGCTAATACTAATTTACAGTTTGTATTTGTATAACAACAACAAGCAAACCCAGTGTAAACCCATAAGTGGGGTCTGGGGAAAGTAGAGTGTATGCAAACCTTAACACAAATCAAAGCACAGTTTTTATTTGTCGTTCCCCAAAACTAAGCTTCAACTTATCTTACCTTTATACACGCTATTGAGAGGTAGGCAACCATCTCCCCCACCCCCCTCTTTTTGAGAGGTAGCAAGCTTGATGAACACCAATTTTAATCTACCCATTGTCCAAACTATAGTCTTCTCTGCAATCAATTAAACCTAGTATTTGTTACAGTACGTCTCTTGAAATAGAACAGTTGTAAATATTAGCCTTTTGGTGTATATTAAAGATGTATACTACAGACATTTTACTCTTGCTCAACTCCTTACCAGATTTATACGGAACAATTACACTCTTGTAGCTTCACTGTACCTAGACAGATCTAGTTTCTTGCCTTTGTTGCTTGTTTACTTATTAAAAAAATACAGTAAGAGAGCAAACTAATTAAAGAAGAACCCAAACCCAGGTAAGCTTCTTTTATGAAATATCGGTAAGTAAAACAATCTGGAAAATAACACTTCTACATATGATTATGTTTCTTTTACTTCACTATCCTTTCTTGCTCAGGTCTGCCCATAAAAATGGTGTCAATACTAATATTACAATATTATAAGACAACTTTATCTAGCTCTTAGATCCAAAGTAACCTTTAAACAGAACATCCAAAACTCCTCAACACTACTGCCGGAGGAAGGGAAGATTAAAAATGTTTTGGTCAGCCAATTTTTTTTTTACTTCTAGCAAATTGTCCTTGTACTTCTACGTGTACTGAGTTGAGGTCCTAACCGAGTACGTCATAATTGAGAAAGGGAAGACCCACCCACCCCAGAGCCAGAACACACGCAGCAACCCCTCTGCCACCAGCACAAGTTAAAGAAAGTTAGCTCTATATTTGTTTATCTGGCCCTAAAAAATGTAAAAAGGCAAATGTCTCTTATTTAAATCTTTCCATGTGCACCTCATATATAAATTAATAGTGGGGCAGGAAAGGGGGCCATCATAGGGTACATACAGGAACTAATCAGCTTCAATGGAAAATCAAAATTAATATAAGGATGATAACCCAATGAGTTTCCTCAGTCAAAAGATGTTATAAATAAAGGCTAAAAGAAAACAAAGTGAGGAGCAAGGTTAGTATGATAACTTACTCTGACAGAAGTCATTCTTATTTATCTAATATCTAAACACTTGCAACAAGAGGAAGTGAATGAAGAAGCACTTACTTAGAAATTCACATTTGGGAGTTCCCATAGTCGAAGCCTTGTGAAAAAGACCCATCATAGACAAACTGCCATTTTCCATGAAAAATAGGAGTCAAAATAGTAACACCTATTTACTTAATTCTAAAAGGGTTAAGAATACCAGAACATGGTGAATAGAGAGTTTGGTACCCTCTTACCTGTGTAGTGGGACTGAGCTGACCTCCAACTATATCGTTTCTAGCAGACGTATCTCCAGCCCTAGAAGATCCCTTGGTGTCTCCCTGACATTAGAAACAATCCCCAAGGCATAGCTAGTGACATATCAGAGGTAAAGACAAAAAGCAACTCTATATCATTGATGCGGGGAAGCAATGCATACCTCCATCTGCAATACCATGATTAACCCACAGCCCAGCAAATAGAATGATTCATCACCAGAAAAAGAGACATTGATCAGTTGATAATTGGATAATAACACAGGGTCAAATTAGAAGTTCTTCAAAACTACAGAGGAAGTTCATATAGACCACTGATACACAGCAAATCTTCCAGATGAGCAGAAAAGAACTATTCTGTCTCTCTTTAGTTGTCGATTATAAACACACGCACAAGAATATCAAGATCTCTTCATTTATCAAAGCTTACTTATCATCAGTAACTGAGGAGGAACTGCAATTACCTCTCTGTACCTAATCAAATAGGCCTTTAGTGGCTCAATGTAGTCCTCAAATCCTAAGGTGGTCAAAGACCATACCAAATCATCTCCATTAATTGTCTTTCTCTTCTCTTTTTGACACTTGTCACTTGCCCTGTAAAAGACAGAAACACATTTAAAATCACATGCAAGACCACAAACTACAACTTCAATGTCATCAATAAATATCACATCTAAGTTCAAAGAAAGCTGCCATCTCAGAACCATTATTCATCAACATTTTTTCGATTTGCAATCATCTATTAACATGTACAGTAATACACAAGTCCTCACTCGAAGACTCAGCGAATATAGATGGATTGGAATTCACAGCTTGACCATTAAAACAGTAATAGCTGTACCCATAGAAAGAGTAACATATCACACAGAATTTCTCTGATCTAAAGAAAGAATATAGTAAACACACATAGTGTACACAAATAGACTAACATTTTTGTTATATGGGGCACCTTTTTACTATGTTATACATCAATAATAACCAGGGAAAAGGTCCAAAATTTCTCCTCAACTATTTGATATTGTTTAACTTTGAACCCCTTTGAAAGTTGGCAACAAAAAGACCCTTGTCACCCTTTCGTATCAATAATATCATATTTGCCATTCTTGGACAACTGGTGTCAACCTAGACCATTTAATCTCAGTTGGTGCTATTCTTCAAGCGGTGTGGAATTACATGTGAATGTACACTTCTCCAAATTCCTCTGTCACCTATAGTGGGCCCAATCATTCTGTCCTCTTTTTCTTCTCTTCTTCCCTTCCCCAAATGCCTCCGATATTCTTTGCTTCCATCCCTCGCACAGCCTCTCTTGCTCACCTCTTAGGCCCTTACCAACAATACTTGCACTCTTTCTACAAATGTTTCCGATATGCTCAAAATAGTTACAAGCATTGTTTTGTTCTTGTTCAAAAAAATTTGGAACTCATAATGTAGATGCACAACAAATTTTCAACATATATCACAAATCATTCAAGTCGTATCCATAAGCACATCAAACACGGTAGTTTCAACAAATATAGCAAATCATGTAAGTTGCATCCATACACATAGAAAACATGTGCAGAGAATACGGTTGCAAAAATTCTGACTTCCACCATATTTCAAACCTAAAAAGTGACTCCAAGTACAATGAACTCCGAGATTCAAGAATACCACTTCAAATTTAAACATTTGTAATTACAATTCAAATAAATCCTTAGGTATATGAAGCTCTTAAATCTCTTAACTTGTATTAATTAGTGTATGATGTCACTCTTAACTAATTTGTTCTTTTCTCTTCATTGAAACACTTGGATGTGTTCTCATTAACAAAAACCCCCACCTGTATTTATTCCATTATCAATCTAAGGGTATGGAAGCATATCGATTTTCCTATTATTATAGGGGAGGACTACAAGCCAACAAATGGGTTCCGAACCCAATTGCTTTAGTTCAAATGTGGTATTTATATTAAGAAACACACTAAATATGTATAAAAATTAAATTTAGGACCCAGTTAGTAACACTTGATGTCACTATACTAAAATTTAGAATTCATAAAGTTCAGATACTACAATATAACACTTACTCACTGGTGATCAAACTCATGAACTCAGAGGCACACTCCTAAACACTTGGATGTGCTTTCACTATATGAACTTCTAACCTGTATTTATCCCATTATCAATCTAAAGGGAATAGAAACATGTCGATTTCCTACTATTACATGGGTGGAGCAACAAGCCGACGTATGGGTTCCGAACCCAGATTGTATTAAGATTCACTAATATCTACAAAATTAAATATAGAACCCAATTAGAACACTTGCTGTCACTGGACTAAAATTTAGAACCCATAAAGTTCAAATCCTAGCAATATACTCCCTCAATTCATTTTCACAACTGTACTAAAATAAATTTTCACTTTTACTTGTCACTTTTAGTATATTCATGAGCAAAACATATTTTTTCCATGTTTTACCTTC